CATATCGATTGGTTGCCTCCCGCACAAACCGCTACTGAGGTACTGCCCTTGACTGGAATGGAACCCGCGACTCTTTGGTCCACCTGCCACCGCTCTAACCACTGAGCAAACTGGCCAGGGCAAGACTTTCACCAGCTTTGTATGAGAGATGTTCGCACCCTTTTTAGCGTTCAAACATTCATTCAACAAATATTTTTTAGTGACCTACTAATTTGTTCTAGGTACTAGGACATAGCAGAGAAAGTTCCTGCTCTCTTGAAGCTTCCATTTTCTTGGCAGAAGACATGATGACAAATAAATGAATGAATATACAATAGGTCCAGAGTGATGAGTGCCTTGTTTCCAGGTCTGTGGGTGTCAAGGACTAGCTCTTCTCCTTGGGCCTTCTTTACCCTTACCGTATAAGTGAATGCAATACCTTCTTGAGCTCAATGTGACCTAATTCCAGAAGCTGATTTTAAAAATTTGTAGTTATTCCACACATGATCTGAAAGGCTGTGCGTGGCCCCCAGCCTCCTATAAAAAAAAAATTGTAATTATTATAAAATTAGAAGATGAACGTTTTACATTGGTATAATGCGTTAGAATTTACAGAATGCTTTGGAATCCATGTTCTCAGTGGACCACAGTACTAGGCAACAGATAAGGAAGTGGTTAAATGCTCTTATCTCTTCAGTCAAGCTGTCTGGGATCAAATCTTGGTTTCCTGACTTACTAACCACGTGACCTTGAACAAGTTACTGAACCTCTCTAAATCTCAATTTCTGTATCAGATAATAGTGCCTGACACATAGGGATGCTTATCATGGTGCCCAGTAAATTTTTAGTACTTTATATTTACTGTCAATCAATTAATAATAATTGAATGGGCCAATTATGTGATATTATTCCCATTTTATAGATGAGGAAACTGAGGTTCAGAGTGGTTGAACAAATGGCTTATAAGTTCTAGTACCTCTTAAACCATGTCTTCTGATACCAGAGCCAATTCTCCACTACAACATTGTACTTATGAATGTATCATGCATTCATTTAATAATTATTTACTGAGCTAGAGAATTTTGAAATAATCCCAATACAACTGATCATCCTTGGGCAACCCTGAATTTATAACTACCTGTGGCTAGTCCTAGTGCTTTGTTTCATGCAGTTTGGACTGGTAATGAATTTTCAAGATTTTTTTTTATCTTTTTTTTTTTCCACTTATTTTCAGACAGAGCAGGAGGGAGAGAGAGAGAGAGAAACATCGACATGAGAGAGACACATCGAGTGGTTGCCACCCACACAACCCCAACCAGGGCCGGGGACAAACTGCAACTGAGGTATGTGCCCTTAGTGGGAACCGAACCCAGGCCTCTCTGGTCTGCGGGACAATGCTCTAACTGCTGAGCCAGACTGGCCAGGGTTGAATTTTCAAGATTTTACTTAAGTTTTTATGGAGGATAGAGATGAGCATTTATCATATTATACTGTCAAATACTTGAAAGGCAAGGATCATGCTTTACTTATCAGTACACAAGTGGCACTTAGCACAATGCCTGGCACATACTTGTTGAATATTTGACAAATGAGCAACATGCCATGTAGCTAAATTTAATCTGTCTTCCTCAATAACTTCTCACCTGCCCCCAGAATGCCTCCCCAGCAGCTGCTCCAGAATTGTTGATAAAATAGACTTGAATGGCATTGTGAAGACTTCTCATGAACTTGACGGGATCCCTCAGGTATTCCTGTTTTTCAGATACAAGTAGTTTCCATCTGAAACCAAGTATAGTAATGGCTGGGTTAGAAAAAAATATATGTAAGTCAAAATATTGAGTCAGGAAGCCAACAGTTGAGTAAATAATCTCAACAACAAAATGTACTCATGAAAAGATAAGAAATGATCTAAGACCGTGCATGCTGAGTGCACTATGAAGAGAACTGGCAATAAACACCACTAGAGCTCAAAGCAATGAAGAAGAAAACAGGAAGGTGGTAATGCATCAATCTGATTAAAAAGGATCTATTCTAGGACTCTGTAGACAAACTCTGAGGTATCAGAAGTTGTTTTTATTGTTATGTCTCAGAGTTTCTTCTGCATAGCAGCAGCCTGTCAACAGCTTAAGGTTTTAGAGCTAGCCGTCTTCATGGGCCCAGAGTCTGACGGGTCCCAGGAACAGCACACCTGCAGTTTCTGTGTCGAATGGGGAGGTGGAGCCCAGGGTCCCAGGGCTCAGATTTCCTCATTTCTGGCTTCCTGGCACTCCACTTAAGGGACTAACCTCCAGCTGAGAACAGGGACAGAACTTATTCTTCACCTGTCCACCCATCTTAAGTAACTCCTCATTGACATAAATATCACAATTCCTAGTCCCTTTACTTCATAACCTTACTCTCAGCCTCTATCCCCCAAATAAAAATAAATACTTCCTAGAATTTAACAATGCTTCCTTCTCTTTCTTTCCTTCTTTTTCTCTCTCTTTCCTTCTTTTTCTCTCTTTCCTTCTTTTTCTCTCTTCTTCCTTCCTCTCTCCCTCTCCCTCTCTCTCTCTCTCTCTCTCTCTCTCTCTCTCTCTCTCTCTCTCTCTTTCTTTCTTTCTCCTCACCCAAGAACATTTTTGCATTTATCTTCAAATAGAGCGGGAGGGAGAGAAGGAGGAAGAGAGAGAGAGAAACATCGATGTGAGAGAGACACATCAACTGGTTGCCACCCACATGACCCCAACCGGGGCTGGAGACAAACTGCAACCGAGGTATGTGCCCTCAGCAGGAACTGAACCCATGTCTGTCTGGTCCATAGGCCTACACTCTAACCGCTGAGCCAAACCAGCCAGGGCACAATGCTTCCTTTTCAAGATTACTACCTTTCTTCTGATCTAATCCAGTCTTGGAGATGGACAATATTTTCTTAGATTTGAGCTTATTTTTTTAAGTGCATAAATATTTCTTTAGAGTACAACTGTGAGACTAGGAAAATGGGATATTTTGGTAAGAAAAATCAAGGTTGGTGCCTGACAGCTACCTTAGCACAAAGTAATCCTATTTGGCTCTATATGTTAAACCTTTAAAAGCAAAAGGAAAATGAAATCAAGAAGTGTACTCCTTACATCTTAGAGAGACAGCATGGTATGTTTCATTTTCTAACAAGCCAAGCTATAAGACCTCCCCTAGTGACATTTGGGTTTGGCCATTCGAATGCATTTATTTCTTTTCAGTGACATGAGCTTGGCAGAACATTGAGAACCGGTGGCTGAGAAAAGAAAGTGCAGTCTTCCTGCTCATGGAAGAGATTCTAAGACATCCTTGGGGTTTGTTTATGAATCAGCCATACATGTTAAGTGAGTTGATCAAGGTTGCAGAGTTCATGGGAATTTCTGATGAAGCAGCACGCAAGAGTGCTAATCAGTTATTGTATGTGAGGTGCAGTCTATAATCTGACTTGTTTGGGTCTTTTTGTCATTACATGTCATGCTTTATTGAAGCCTGTTTCAAGCTCTCATTTTCTTTGCTCTCACAATTCCCCTGCTTCATGAATGAGAATTGAGGCTTTGTGGCAAGAATGCTAAATATTCCTTCCAGCTACACAGAAGAAAGGGCTAAGAGACAGTTATGTTTTATTAGCATCTGATTCCAGAAACATGATCCCAATTTCTTAATCATAGATGCTTTTGGCACTCACCACAGCCTAGTTGGATCCTCTCTGCAGTACCTAGGAACCAAACCAAAAGTGGTACCAAGAGAAGATGAGATGAGCATGCAGACAGTCAAGTAACACATGTTTTCAGGCTTCCAGCATCCTTCCTTCTTTCCTAGGCCCACTGCTGTCCAGCATTGCCAGATTTAGCAAAGAAATGTACACCGGCTCCTGTCTTTTATCTGACAATCCTGTTAAGGCCGTTAGTAGCTCTATTTAAGTCCTCTGCCATCAGAGCCTATATTTTGGGGGTGGGGAGAACATGAATTTAGTCATCAAAACTTAGAGTAATATTTCTCAAAATTTGGTCCCAGATAATCTGCATTAGAATAACTGGGGAACCTGAAAAAAAAAGGCACATCCTTGGGTGTCAGCCTAGACTCACAGAATCAGAAATGCTAGGGATGGGCATAATATATGCATTTTAAAAATTTCCACAAATAATACCGAGGCAGACTAAATAAAGCATGACAATTCTTTAATGACCTCAGTGTCTTTCCTCTCCCAGTAGTACATACGTAAAACCTTTTTCTTTTTCTGCTTGTGGAAAGGAGAAAAACAGTATCAGATATTTATGAGAACCTTATTAAATATTTGTTTCCTTAATCCCTTCTTAAAGGGAGTCTGAACTTCAAAAGAAAGCAGAAAGCTGCTTCCGATCACCTCCATATGTACCTGATCATCTATGACTTGTCCTGTCTAGTCTACTACTCCAGGCCTGAAGTCAGGAGAGCCTTTGGCCGGTGGCACCAGCAGAAACAAGTCCGGGGCTTCACACTGTGGGCCAAACAGAATGGATCTTCAGTCAGTGTGCGGTGGGCCAAGAAGCCTGCAATTACTCCTTCTCTAAACAACCCCTGTACTTCTTTCCCCTCTGGATCAAAGAGTTAGCTTAAAACTAGAATTTCCCCCACAAGATCCGTTTCACTGTCTTTAATTCTGCTTTCTGCATTTTCCAGCATTTAATCTGAAAATCAGCCACCGACATTAATGAACAGCTCATTGCACGTTGAGAACCTTGGACCAGAGACCCCGGTAGAATCCTGCAGGTTCAGGATTGTGTTCAGAAAGACTACAGGCCCCAAAATGCAATTTCACCTCCCCAAAACTACCATTCCCACCATGCAATGCAGCCAAGGTTCGTGAAGGAAAAGAACTACCAGCACGGTTGGAAATTTTGCATTTCAGTCACCCTTAGTCAAAGAAATTATTGAAAAGGCCCCAGAGGATATTTTTTGCAGGAGTGGTCACTCCCTAAATCCAGGCAAGGGAGGGGAGGAGTCTGAGTCGTGTCCCACCCCTTTCCCAGTAAACTTGGCGGAGGAGCTCGAAGGGCCGGGAGTAGCAGCGCGCCCAGAACTTTCCCCATGGTTTCGGTGACCAGATCCGTGTTCGGAGAGCTGCCCTCGGGGGCAGGGACAGTGGAGAAGTTCCGGCTGCAGTCAGACCTGCTGAGAGTGGACATCCTCTCCTGGGGCTGCACCATCACGGCCCTGGAGGTCAGAGACAGGCAGGGCAGAGCCTCAGATGTGGTGCTGGGCTTTGCCGAATTGGAAGGTGGGTTAAACTTTGCCTCGGGCCCGCCCGCGACACGCCCGGATCGGGCTGCTGGCGGAGCAGGGACCGAGGGGAAGGACCCGAGCTTGGGAAGGTCAGGAATGCTTGGATCCCGCTAACCCACAGTGTTTTGCTCAGGTGCTTGGAAAAAGACAAAAATGAATGGAAACAGCAATAGGATTTGGCCTCTGGTTATCCATTAAGGTTTTGCCTCAATTGATTTAAAAAGTCAGTTGAGAGTAAGATAAAACTGCAGCAACCCCGGGGCGATCTTTGAACTGCCTGATCTTCGAGGGAGGGAAAAGCAGGCGAGAGGGGGCGTGGCTCCCAGTTCCTTCCTCCTGCCCTTGCTCAAGAAGGAAAAGCAAAGACCTGCGTCTTCTACTTCCTTTCCTTGACCAGACTCTCTTTGAGCCATGGTTGTCTCAGAAATGCCCAGGGGATGCAGACAGCGTATCTATCCACTTTGGTCTGGGTGGGGTTAGGGCCCAGTATACCCTGGCTGCTCAGAATGGAACTCAGAAGACCTACTCCTTGACTAGAAGTGAGGTATCCTTCTAACTAGGGTGGACTGTTATTCTGTTGGAATCCGTGGGCAATTAAGATCACATTAATACATGCATTTAAAAATGGTTAATTCCATTATCTCATCCAATGAGACTGACAAGGTCCCCACCCTCATAGAGCTTGCAGTTTTGCTGGGGGCATAGCCCTTAGCCAAATAATCACATAAATAAATAATCACAATTGCCGGTCGATCACAACAAAGGGAAGCATACATAGTGTTCTCTTGGCAGTAGGGGTGCAACTAGACAGAAAATGAGGTCTGAAATAAAGTTTGCCAAGAGACACATGAGAATTGATATCCTCTCCTTGGTGGCAGAGGTGTGGACAAAATTTGTTTAGAGAGGTTTGAGGTTTTCCTTTAGGTGTGTCTTTCTGTCTGGTTCTTTAGATCTGTAAAGTGACTCATGGTCGGAGATAAACAGAAAATTCTTGAGAGTATTGGTTTTCCCTTAGGTGACTGAAATTTGCTCCCTATATCCTTATCAAAATGTATTATAAGAATATTCCTGAGGATCCTATTTCTTGCTCTCTGGTTGTCTTTATTTGCCTTGGAGCTTCCATAGCTTGGCTTGGAGAGGGGGTAGGTAATCTTCAGCAGAATTTCTTTGGTAACTTCAGCAAATCTATTACAGGAAACTCAAGGGTGGGAAGGTGCAGGGACGTGGGGAAAATCAGCTCCACATCCCCTTGCATTGCTGGGGATGGAAGTTCCCATGTGTTCGAAGTCAGAAGGCAAGAGGGGTTAACAACTGACAAAAGAGGATTCCTCATTCTGCTGAGTCATCTCTCTCTGTTAGTAGCATAACCATTTTCTGAAACAGATTGATAAAGAGTTTACTTGGGTGGTGCAAAATTGCCATGGAGTCAAAGAATTGGGTATTTGGCCAACAATTGCAGAATTAGTAAAAAACTGGAGATAATAAACTAAGAGCACCTGCTCTTATGATCTGGTTTCCATCTCTGCCTTATCACCATTCAGGAGGGAACTAAACTACCTACCTTCTATTCTCTCTCTCTCTCTCTCATTCAATTCATACCATTTTTAGTTCTGATGTGAGTCACATAGATTTTAAAGCACAAGGTGTCTTTCTGGAATTCATGATGACATGCACCTGGAAAGTGCCATGAATAGAAATGCCAATTTTGTGAGGGTATTTATACAATTGTCTCTATGAGTCTATGACTCTTGTGGGAGTCTGGGTGAAAGAAAATATTATCCCCAAATATTCTTAAAGGGGAGAAACAAAATACTGATCCCCTGGCTTGTATTGTATTGTCCTTCACGTTATTAACATCTGTGAGAAAGTTAAATAGCATTTTCTTAACCAAAATGCATCACAAGTTTCACAAAAAGCATCGAGAGACATTTTTATCTCTATGCTATAATTTCACCCTGTCCAGTTTGGCTCAGCGGTTAGAGCGTTGTCAGCCTGTGAACCAGAGAGTCCTGGGTTTGGTTCCCGCTAGGGGCACATTCCAAAAAAAAAATACAATATGTGGTCTATTCTATAATTTATTTAGGTTAAAAGGAAATCAAGCTGTTTTCCAAAGAGAAGTTAGAACAAAAAGCCCTGAGAATATCAAGTAATACTTTCTTATATATTCAGCCATCTTCAAGGTTATTGCAAGTAGCCCCTTGATCCCTTTTTTCTTAATCCTCACCTGAGGACATTTTTCTGTTTATCATCAGATAGAGTGGGAGGTGGGGAGAGAGAGAGAGAAACATTGATGTGTCTCACATCAACTAGTTGCCGCACAACCCATCCAGGGCCAGGATGAACTGCAACTCATTGGTCCGAGGACCAAAGCTTTAACCTCTGAGCCAAACTGGCCAGGGCCCTTGTTCCCTTTTTAAGGCTTTGTCCTTCAGGGTTTTTGTAGATTCTTTTAGTATTGCCAAAAATAAAGACTTCATAATAGGAAGCATTGGCTCAATCAGAATACAGTCATGGTTGCATAACGATGTTTCAGTGAAGGTTGGACCACACATGCCATGCTAGCATACCAACCATATAACCTATGTGTGTAATAGCTATACCATCTAGGTTTGTGTAAGTGCATGCTGTAATGTTTGCACAGTGTAGAAATCTCTCAACGTGTCCCCACCACTAAGCTACACATAGCAGTAGTATGAAATGGTTCTCTGCTACTATTTTGATCAATGCTAGTATATTAAAATCCATGTTAAGAAATTGGCAACAGTGGTTGTCCTTAAGCAAAGACTCTGGGCAGCCGAGGTACAGGGATAGGAAGGAGACTAAATTTTCACTATATGGTCCTTAAGAATGCCTGAGTATATAAGTGCTATATAAATAAACTGAGGCAAGTAACTTAAAGCAATAAGATGTGACAGAGTAAGGGGTTACCTTCATTACTATGTCCCCAAAAATGTTTTGAACCACGGGGAAGAGCTAAGCATGAGTAATTCCATGAGACGTGGTCCTTTTATAACTCCTAGGTTGATGTGAATGAACTATCTCCAATTTCCCAGATAGATTATATAAACTGCTTGGGTGATGGCCATCACCTGAGGTCAGAATGGTTCAATTCCTCCCTGGGAAAATAAGATCCTTCTTCTGTAGGATTCTAAGGAGGTAAATTGTACGATCTTTTTAGTTATAGGCTGGGAAAATCGGTCATGCCTTCTGTGAGTTTTTTTTTTTATTGATTTTTCTTTTTTTGTTAATCCTCACCTGAGGATATTTTTCCATTGATTTTTAGAGATAGTGGAAGGGAGTAAGGAGAGCGAGAGAAAGAAACATCAATGTGAGAGAGACACATAGATTGGTTGCCTCCTGCATGACCCTGACGAGGGTCAGGGATCAAACCTGCAACCCAGGTACATGTCCTCAACTGGGAATCGAACCTGAAACCCTTCTTTCTGAGGGCTGACACTCTAAACACTGAGCAAAGCCAGCCTGGCCTGAATTGATTTTTAGAGAGAGAAGAAAGGAAAGGGGAAGAGAGAGAGAGAGAGGGAAACATCGATGTGAGAACAAAACATCAATTGGCTACTTCCCGTACTCCCCAACCAGAGATCCAGCCTGCAACCCGGGCATGTGCCCTGACTAGGAATTGAACCAGCAACCTTTTGGTGCATGGGACCACACCCAACCAAATGTCCAGGGCTCTGCCATTTATTGTATTTAAACTATTTTTAAATGTTTTTCATCTGCATGTCCCACCTGCAGTCATTATGACGTCTTTCAAAACCTGTGATGAGAATATTTGCTTATAAGCCACAGGTACAAACAACCTACCCATACAATCAGTGCAACTCTTTCCCATCTGTCTTCCCCCAAGTTACCACCAAAACCAGCCTGGGCTTAATAGATTTTTGGAGAGAGAAGAAAGAAGAGGGGGAGAGAGAGAAGCATCCAGCTCTTACTACCGTGAGAGTCATTATGGAAAAACTAGAAAAAATAAATATAGTGCTTTTGGAAAACCTGAGTTCATAAGAGGGCACACCCCAGAGGAAAGAGGACCAGTTTAGAGGCGCAGTTTAATATTACAGATAACCAAGAGTGCCCTTATAGGTGCATTGAGGATTCCTAGTTTAAATCTGCTTTGTCTCTTAAAGCTGTGTGACCTTGGGCAAGTTATTTAACTTCTCCAGACCTACTTCCTCACCTGAAACAGGTGGATAATGATGATTAAATGTGATATTGGCTGTGATAGTGTCTGACTATGGTGAACAATTAATAATCATCTTCTTTCCTTCCTTTGCCCCCAGATAGCTTCCTTCATACTAGAACTTTTTATTTTACTTTGCTAATACTGGAAAAAAATTAAAAAATGGCATGGAGATTCATCTGGGACAACCAGCAGCTATTTAAAAATAGATAAAATATTTGGAATGGTTAAAGTGCTCATCAATTAAAGTAATGTTTGTTTTCCTCAAAAAGCCAAAAGAAAGTGGATCAGGATGAGGAGGTTTTGACGGAGACTAGTGAGCAATTTTGTTTGAGACTTTAGGGCGCCCTGGCTAGGGCTTGGCTGTTTGAGGTGGATGCCGTAGCTGGGATCCTTGGGATGTTAGAGGAGTGTGTGGAAAAGGCCACCCCGTGGTTCAGCATTTATGACTATATTCTGTCCAGTCCCTTGCTGCCCAAAGAAGGCACAAACTTTTCCTCTATCCTTTATCCCACATTAGCAATTGACTTCGTTAAATCAGCATTCCTGTCTTGACCTAGAAACTTTGCCTTTTTTTTATAGAAATTAGTATATTTTCTGCATTTCAAAACAAGCTTTTTAGTTATTGCCTATTCATAATTTGGGGACTGTCATATTTTGTCATTCTGATTTTATACACAAGCTTAGTAACATATGCAGATAGTATAAAATCCATTTGTTCTGAAGAGTTCAAGAGACCGTTGGGAGCAGTGGTTTCTGCTATACCTACGGTTTAGTGCTTAGAAACTTCATCTAAACTAGGGGCCGACAGTGCTTATCATCCCCGTGGGCTTAGTAGGCATTTTTAGAAGCGGTCCCCCTGAGGCAATCTGTGCAAGCCCATGAGGCAGCAACCTTGCTGTGGGATCTGTCAGTGTTGCTCAGCTTGTGACTGACAGAGGGAAAGGACTCGGTGTACACTTGTTGAATGAATCATTACAGGAGTCAAAAATAGGTACAGCCAAACAATTTCTGAACAGAAATTCTGCTTTCTTTGAATTTTTGAGCTCCTGAGAAACAAATAAATGCTCCCCATTATACATCAGCAGGGAAATGCAAATTCAAACGAGACCTGTTAGAATGGCCAAAGTTCAGAACACTGCCAATACCAAATAGCCATGATGATGGGGAGCGACGGGAACTCTCCTTCATTGCTGGTGAGAATGCAGAGTAGTATAGCCACTTTGGGAGACAGTTTAGTAGTTTCTTACAAAGCTAAACATACTCTACCATATGATCCATCAGTCATGCTCCTTAGTATTTACTCAAAGGAGTTAAAAATTTATGACCATACAAAATCCTGTATATGAATGCCTCTAGTAGCTTATTCATAACTGCTAAAACTTGGAAGCAGCCAAGATGTCCTTCAGTAGGTGAATGGATAAATACACTGTGGTAAACCCAGACAATAGAATATTCAGTGCTAAGATGAAATGTGCTACCAAGCCATGAAAAAACAGGGAGGAGCCTTCAATGCATATTACTAAGTGAAAGAAGCCCATCTGAAAAGGCTTCATACTGTTTGATTCCAACTATATGACGTTCTGGAAAAGGCAAAACTATGGAGATAGTATAAAGATGAGTAGTTGCCAGGGGCTAGAGGGATGAGAGGGAAGAATAGGCAGCACACAGGATTTTTAGGGTGGTGAAAGTACTCTGTATGACGGATTGTAATGGAGGATACATATGTCATCATACATTTGTCCACACCCATAGAATGTACAACACCAAGAGTGAGCCCTAATGTCAGCTATGGACTTTAGGTGACGATGATGTGCCAACGTAGATTCATCAGTTATAATAAATGTGCCTGCCACTCTGGTGGGGGATGTGAGTAAGGGGGGAAGCTATGCTTGTGTGGGGGGAGAGGGGATATAGGAAATCTCTGCAGCTTCAGCTCAATTTTTCTGTGAACCTAAAACAGCTCTAAAAAAAAATAAAGTCTATTAAAAACAAAACATATGAAGCAAAACCAAAGAAAGGTGGTTTAGCCCTTTGGGACTCCTTTGGTTACCCAGCGGAAGGGGTTTTAAAGCTACAGCTTCAGAAAGAGAGGAGAGGGAGGAGCGAGGTGGGAGCTGATAGCGATCAGCCTGGCCTGTGCTAAGAGATGGTAGGAAGGTCAGTTCATCAGAAAGCCTCGTGCTTCCCAAGTAATGCGATGCTCAAGAACATGTACTTAGGAGCCAGACTGTACATTCAATTCCTGGTTCGGCCATAACTAGCTGTGTGTTGGGGGGCAAGTGACTTAACCTTTCTGTTCTCAGTTTCCGCACCTGTAAAATGAGGATAATAATAGTGTCTGCCTTATGGAAGCATTCTGAGGATGAAACAAGTTAAATGTCAAACATTTAGAAAGTGGCTGAGACTTTGAAAGCTCTGTGTTAGCTGTCACGACAGCCTATGGGCGGGACTCTGAGGACCTGCAGATTAGCAAAGAGGTGAACCAGGAAAGACCTGAAAGAGAAGATTTATGTTTCACTTAGGCCCAACCAGTTGAGTAATGGGAACCTGTGACCTGTAACTGGCCTAATAAGTTCAGGGTCCATATCCTAAGAGCCCCTCTAGCCGTGGCAAAAATAATTCATATGCTTAAATTGCATGCTCTTCTGATCCACAGTAGATGTGATGGATACACAGTGCTGCAGAAAGGGGAATGGAATTTCAGGGGCATCTGAATGAAAAATAGAGTGGAAAGTAATCTTGGTGATAATACAAAAAACAAACTACCTCCAAACCTTAATCACTAAAGGATTATAGCCTAGAGGAACTTAAAGAGAAGGAAAGTACTGTAATATATCCAGGCACAAAGTTGTAAGAACAGGACACTAGCTATATTTCTTTAAAAAAAACAAAACTCTTGCCCAGCCGGTGTGGCTCAGTGGTTGAGTGTCGATCTATGTACCAGGAGGTCACCAGTTTGATTCCTGGTCAGGGCTCATGTCCAGGTTGTGGGCCCGATCCCTAGTGGGGAGCGTGAAGGAGGCGGCCAATATCGATGTTCTCTGTCATGGATGTTTCTATCTCTCTCTGCCTCTCCCTTCCTCTCTCTCTAAAATCAATAAAGAAGAATATTAAAAACAAACAAACTCTAAAAACTGACAACAGTTTATGCTCATCAATTTCCATGTAGCCATCAAAAGGGATATAGTAGGTGGACATGTAGTCACATGGAGTGATCTTAAGACATTCGATCATTGAAAATGTAGCAAAACAACATGTATAATTCTCTTTATATAGAATATGTGTTTGTGTATTTGTATGTGTTTATAGGTAGTTAATTATTTTATTTAAGTTTATTTTAACATGTTTTTATTGATTTTTGTTTGTTTGTTTGTTTTAGAGAGGAAGGGAGAGAAAAAGAAACATTGATCTGAGAGAGAAACATTGATCAGCTGCCTCCTGCACACCCCCTACTGTGAATCGAGCCCGAAACCCAGGCATGTGCCCTGATCGGGAATTGAACCAGGACCTCTCAGTCCCTGGGACTGTGTTCAATCCACTCAGCTACACTGGCTAGGCAGTAGTTAAGTTTTTTTATTTAAAACAAGTGTATATGCCCTTTAGCAGTGGTTATCTGTGAGAAGGAGGGGAGTTGAGAGGCAGAGGAGAGCTTTCATGTTTTACTCTTTATTAAGGTTGCCAGATTTAGCAAATGAAAATACAGGATGCCCAGTTAAGTTTGAATTTCAGATAAATAGTGAATATTTTAAAGTGTAGGTATATGCCATGTATAACAATAATATGGGCATATTTATACTAAAATATTATTTATTATTTATCTGAAATTCAGATTTAACTGGGCATTCTATATTTGCTCTGGCAAGCCTACTCTATTTTTTTTTTTTTTTTGGTATGTGCCCCTAGCGGGAACTGAACCCGGGACTCGCTGGTCCACAAGCTGACTCTCCAACCGCTGGGCCAAACCAGCCAGGGCAAACCTACTCTATATACTTGTGTATTATTTAACACTCTTTAGAGGACTTTATTTTGCTAATTGTATGATTCTTTCTTTAATGAAAAGAGAAAAAAGATAAGAAAGTCTCAAGACTACACAAAAATGTAATTTTTAGTTAAGAAAATTGATCAGCTCCGGGGAAAAAAGCAGATTACAAAGCAGCGTGTACACTGAGACCCCAGTTTTATAAAAAGAATAAATGCACGCGTATGCGTATACTGGAAGACAGAGGATGTACATAAAAATATTAACAGTGGTTCTCCCTGGCTGGGTAGCTCAGTTGGTTAGAGTGATTTTCTCAATAAATGTTCTCTTACAAAGAAAAAAAAACATCTACCAGTTCTGGGAAGGGAAAAGGTCATGTGTAGAGAAGACGGTTTTCCGTGCTTCCGTGAGGATATGCCCAGATCGTCACTTTGCAGCTCCCTCGGGAGAAATGGTGGGTAGCAGTGTGAGCCTCACCCTCAGTTTGAAGTTTTAAAAAGCTGTTATCCCATGTCCTTGCAGGGTACCTCCAAAAGCAGCCCTACTTTGGAGCAGTGGTTGGCAGGGTCGCGAACCGAATTGCCAAAGGAACATTCACAGTAGACGGGAAGGAGTACAAGTTGGCCATTAACAATGGGCCCAACAGTCTGCATGGAGGAGTCCGAGGGTTTGATAAGGTGAGTCGGGGGCATTGGGTGGAGTCCTTACTGCACATTTCACAAAGTACCTTCGAGCATACCTTCTGTTTACCAGACACGACCCAGGCCCTGGAGCAAAAGCATGGGAAGGTGATCAGGAAGGAGGCTGCTCCCGCGGCCAAGAGGAGCTGCCCTCTTCCAGGACCTGTCCTGGTCTGCCCAGCTGACTGTAACCGCAGGGGAGCCCTGAGCGAAAGGACGAGGGAAAGACTTAGGAGCGACAGGGAACGACTTTCTCACAGCGTTGGGATCAGGGAGTTGAGTTGACCTTGCGCACAGCAGGAAAGTGGATTGAAATTAATACCTAAACACTTACTACACAGGCATTTTCATGCATTATCTCTCACCCTTGCTAGAACCCTGTATTATCACCAAATGAGAACTGCGAGGCTCCGAAAGGCTACACACTCCTAAGTCAGACTGCCTGGCCAGAAGCCCTCATTCCTGCGCTATAACTGCTGTCCACCAGGGCCACCTCTGGGGGTGCCCCCAGTCCAACACACACCCCTGTATCCGTCGTTAAGCCCCGCTGTGTTCAGGCCTGCCCTTCCATGCCTCAGAGTGACCTCATATTCTCCCCAATTCTCCCTTCCCACATTTAAACTCTCATTTGCCAAGTGAATCCCTGGAAAAACAAGGTTAGGAAAGCAGATCAAACAGCTTCCCCCTGAGGTAGGAATGCCTGGCCCCCTGATCCTGGCTGGGTGGCAGTCTGCTGGCTAACCCCCCGTGGCTCTCTTACTGGTCTCACTACAGGCTGTGAGGGAGATCACTTCGGTAGTGAGCTGTCCTTCCAATTACACCACCCAAGTTATTTCCTAAAGAAGACGGGACTGTGTATGCAGCTAAGGATCACAGTTTCCTCTTTTCTGCCTCTGACCACCAACTGTTCTGTAGAAGGAAGTTGGTCGCTCTCTGCTACCCTGTCCCACCAGCTTCCAGTCTGTGGCCCAGACCCAGACTGTCCGTCAGTTCCCTTTTCCTCAGTGATGGGACTCCTCACGCCAGGCAGGCACGAAGCCGGAGGCCTCTGGAAGATGCCCGGTCTGTAGGAAACCCCAGCCAGAGGAAGTTAGGCCCAGCTCCGGTGGGACGGGGCTCTTCAGACGAGCCTCAGAACAACACCTTGTTCCTGCTGGTTCCTGGGCGCTCTATTCTGCAGGGGCACTGTCTGCAGGGTTGCTCGACATGTTCGCCCTGTATGAACATGGCAGTGGGCATGGGCAAATTCCTAGCGGCTGGGGAGATGGGCCTTGAACTTCCCTTAAAAAAGGACAGTATTTCATTCACTGTGCTGAGATCGGAGACAGTAGCTGTGCAACGGCCCAGAGAAAAGTGGGGAGACACTCGGGCTGTTCTCACGGCGCCACTGAGAGCTTTCGAACAGCACGTTGCACGTGGCGCCCTGAGCAGCGTCACAGGCACTGTGTTTGAAGCTGTGTTTGATCGCAGCCGTTACGGAATAATTGTTCTTTTGGAGGTATGTGTTCTCTGCTTATATCAACACATTTTTAAAAGATGAAATTTGAATAAGCTGACAGGATTAGAAATGGTATAAGTAGGCCTAAAGGTGCAAATTAGGAAATTTTCTGGAAATTTGGAAAATTACAGGGTCCGGGAAATCCTTCCATGAATGGGAATTATACTTCCCACGGTATTATACTTCCCTGATGATATTGGTTTACACAAAAAACTTTCCATTGTGTCCTTTCTCTAAATGAGAAAAACCAGGTAGCAAGTTGAGAACATTTTATTTCAAATATTTTATTCCTAAAATTTTCCATTTAGGAGATTCTTTTTTCTTCCTTTAACCCCCTATATAACAGGCTTTATCTGTTCCGTGTCTTGAAAGTTCAACATTTCTGGGAGGTAATTAGGGTGTAAAATTAATTTTTTACTAAGGTCAGTGAATTTGTTTCAAATGCCAGCTGCTTTCACCGCAGGTGAAGGCAGGGACCTCGGTTCCTGCTGGGCTCCCCTTCCTAGCAAATGGGGTGTCACTGACAGATCCAGCCAGGAAGGGGGGACGCAGAGCCTGGGCGCACAGGCCATTCCTCAGGCCATAGGACATGTTTGTTATCTTTCAAATCCATTTGTAATGATGGTGGCCTCAACTCGTGGAGATTTGAACAAAACATTTACTGAAACCAAGATGTGTTATGATGTAGGCTACCAGACCTGAATTTGAATCCTAGCTCTGTCACTAATTACAGGTATGACATGATTTTCCCCTGCTTTAAACAGTGGGCATGAAGTATCAAAGGTTTCTGCTCCACTCCCTTGGGGTGTGGGAGGTGGAAGTGAGCAAGTTAGTTAACTCCACTGAACTCAGTTTGCGCAACTGTAAAATGGGGGTAATAACGGGAACCATGCGAAATTGCCCCTATTCAACTATTTTGAACTGCAAAGGTGGTCATTTATTTTATTTTTGGTTCCACCAGATCCTTACCTTGAGAAATGATTTATGTAAAAGCAACAGGTTAGTGACTGATGAGCACTCAACAAATTGGCAGCCTCATGTCTACAAAAGGTCCCGTGACCCCTGGGCTCCTAAAAGGGCCTGGGGTCTCTGGCTACCTCGTCCTCTGATAGTGTGAAATAAGAGGACAGGACCAGATCACTTGGTTCAAATGCATCATCTTATTAGCTGTGTGGCCTGGACCACACGGTTTATCTTTTCTGAGCCTCAGCTCGGTCATCTCTAAATGAGGATAATGTTTCTTTTTTTTTTATCCTCACCCGAGGACATTTTTCCACTTTTTGTTCAGGTAGAGTGGGGGGAGAGAGAGGAACAGAGAGAGAGAGAGAAACATCGATGTGAAAGGGACACATTGAGTGGCTGCCACCCGCACAACCGACCAGGGCCGGGGACAAACTGCAACCGAGGTACGTGCCCTTAGCGGGAACCGAACCCGGGTCTCTCAGGACCGCAGGCCGACGCTCTAACCGCTGAGCCAAACCGGCCAGGGCTAAATGAGGATAATGGTACCTATGTTAAGTCAGCCCTGAGACAGATAAGATAGTGTCCATGAATTTTCTAGCAAAGTGCCTTGGCTCATCATGGGTACTCGATAAATGTTGGTTTTCCCTTCTCCGTAGGTGTCAACTTGGGGCCGCGAAGGCAAAGTTGAGAGGGACCACTGTGTTCATGCAATATCCCTATTTCTACTTTCAAAAGCAAAAAACTCTTTTAGAACACTCTTCTTCATATTTTTCTTTCCACTCTTAGAATCATATATTCCAGAGTGAGAAGAAACCTTAAGATCATTTTTTCAACCCCTTTATTTTACGGACAGGATGGCTGTTCAAAGTGACACAGTGAGCTGCGAACAAACTTGGCCCCCAGATCAGGACTCCTGATGTGTGGGCTAGAGCTTCCTGAAGGAACAAGTGCCTTCTTATTTGTTTGGAACATAGAGAACCTCACAGGGTCTTTTAGTAGATATTAACCCCAGGAGAGAGGGGCTGATTTATTAAGGTTATTTTAATACTGTTGGCAGATAGCAGATATTGCTATATGCCACTCTGAATGTGGTGCTGAGATTTTTTTAAAAATTAATCTCAAAGTAGGGGAAGAAAATATTGTACATACATATGTATAAATTTAGGGGGGGAAGAGAATGGGAAATATGAGTAAGTAGAGAAAAAGTTTTTTTTCTTAAATTCTATATGAAACAGAATTTTAGAATAATTAGAATTCAGGCTATTATTTTAAATCTCATTGATTTTATTATTGTTTCCCTTCCTAGAGTCAGTTGTCTTTAATATTGAAATGTGGCATTTAGCTTGGGATTAGGGTGACTAACCAGCTTTGAAAACACTTTTTTGCTAGGTCCTCTGGATCCCTCAGGTGCTGTCAAATGGTGTTCAGTTCTCACGGGTCAGTCCGGATGGTGAGGAAGGTTACCCTGGGGAGTTAAAAGTTTGGGTAACGTACACGCTGGATGGTGGGGAGCTCGTGGTCAACTATCGAGCACAGGCCAGTCAGACCACACCAGTCAGTCTGACCAACCATTCTTATTTCAACCTGGCAGGCCAGGTAAGTGACCTCACCTTAACTCTCCTGTGATGTGCTTTGTGGAGTGACCTGGGGGAGTGACTGGAGAGGCCAACCCATCATGAAATTACTCTGGCAATGGGGTCACCCCCAAGATGATGAAAGTGCCCAGCAAAGCATATGGCTCATAGTAGGTGCTCAATAAATGGAAGTTCTAGAGAAAGATGGGTTGAGTACACTGAACCACCAAGAGAATTATCTGTTTCCCATATGTTCAGACAACTAACTAGCTATTTTAAGAATTCCCTCTCATCTAGTAACATGTACTTACATTTGCTTCCCCTTCTTCACTCCCACTCTACCCCCACCCCCAAATGACTTCCAAATTGAGTGCTTTCTACCCTTGGACCTTTAGAAATGTGCTCAGCCCAACCCCTTTAGTTATGCTGCCAATATTTTTATGTCCCTACTGAGCAGCCCACCCTGTGTAGTGTAGAGACATTGACAACCCCCCTTAGGTAACCTCTAAACGACCTCGTTCCCTTGTAATGCTAATACTTTAGCTTGTTGAGGAGGCTATTGTATGAGACAATAAAAAAGCTTAGCTAAACTCTGCACATTACATCTATTACTTCCTGTTCCTCTGAAGAACTCATCATCATCGTCTGCTCTACTTGAATCGCTCACTTTGGCATGCTTTTCTACCAGGAGATGATGTTCACAGCCAATAGTAATGTCTTGCATTTTCACATTCTTTTAGGAGTTTGCTAATAATATGCTGATCCCCCCCCCCCCCCGGATCTTTTCTAATAGCATGAGTTTATTGGTTCTTATATAATTTCCAAAGTTCTCGCTTTAAAAATAAGAACGCTGTTTCTTCACTTGCTTGTTCCTAATCTTTAGGAACTCCCACCATCCTTCTTGAGGTCTTAAAAACAAATCAAAACAAACACACCCAGCTGTGACAGGCTCTGCAATAATGAGCCTGTTATAAAGACTCTACTTTTTATAATAAGTTCAAAATGAAACTTGACAAAAATGGAACAAAATATTCATGGTTTAATGTAAGATCATGGTGATTTTTTACTATTTTCCACATTTTCATATGCTTAGAACATTCTATTTTATACTCAAGGGTGGTCTAAAGGATTAGATTGAAAAATAGAAAGAGAAGTTATGTGTGAAGTGTTACATCTGCCTATGTGTCCCAGCGGAGGAGACTTCATGGGAATGTAAGATTCACGAAGGCTCTGGTCAGGAGGGCAGGAGAACCCTCCTGACCAGAATTTTACGCCTTTCCAATTATATAAGGACTTGAAATGACAGGTATTTCTGAATCTCTTTCCAGAGGCTGAATAGTTTCCCAGATCACAGAAGGGTGGTCAGTGTCAACTCCCTTCTGCATACTACCTTAGTAAGTGCAGCTCAAATCCATAGCCACGAGCTTCAGGTTGAGGGTAGGCGGGGGTTGTCAGCCTTCTGGGGCGCTCAAGGAAGAGTCACCAGGCCTGGGGTCAAGAGGCCTCTGCATTTTCAGAACATCTCTTGCCCTACCCATGGATACATTATCATGTATCTTAAGCCCTCTCCAGCAAATAGGTCAAAACTTGGTATTTAAGGTAGTCAGCTCATCTTATATATTTTCTTCTTTTGTTTGTTTTTTAAATTTTTTTATTTATTTTTATTTTTTTTTATTTATTTATTTTTTTATCCTCACCCGAGGACATTTTTTTGTTCAGACAGAGTGGGAGGGAAAGAAAGGAAGAGAGAGAGAGAGAGAAACATCGATGCGAAAGGGACACATCAAGTGGCTGCCACCCGCACGACCAACCTGGGCCGGGGACAAACTGCAACCGAGGTACATGCCCTTAGCGGGAACCGAACCCGGGTCTCTCAGGACCGCAGGCCGACACTCTAACCGCTGAGCCAAACCGGCCAGGGCTGTTTTTTAAATTTAATAGTATTTTTGTTCTACTTGGGGCAGAGCTTTGGCTCATCACTCCTAAGTTTGAGTGTTGGAGGCCTGGGAGGAAGGGAACCTATGTTTTTCAAAGAATGAAAAAGTTACGTGGGTTGCAGGTTGGTTGTTTTTGGTTTTGTTTTGTTTTTCACTGTTCCTGCTTTTGCCTAACACAAAACTGGAAGAACATGTTTCTTATTTAAACTCTACCTAAAGAGCTATGAAAGCAGCCTGGGGAACTTGAGATGAAGAACAGTAGCTGGTTCCGGTATGACTGGGGAGGTACATCATCAAGGACCCAGGGTCCTCGTCTTTCCGTTCTGCATCTTCAGTGTTTTGGCCTTTGTCTCCGGTTGTTCCCTTATGGTCACAGATGGTTTCCAGAGCACCAGAAATCACTTCTTCATATAGTCACATCTAGAGACAAAAATGACCTGTTTCTTTTTTTTTATATCTCTAATCCATTTTTAAGAACAAGCAAAACTTTTCCCAGAAGCTCCCCTCCAGACTTTCCCTACATTTTTTTTTTTTGCCAAAAATTGTGTCCTGTGCCTTGTCTGACCCAATCACCAGCAAGGGAATTAAATCACGGGATTGGCTTAGACTAATTAAGATTTGCCCTCTGGGGCTGGGGTGGGGGGGTCCTTTCCCTGAATATATGATCTAGCATAGGATAAATCAGCAGGCCAGGGTTCCCCGGGAAAGGGAGGCTGGTAAAGGAGTTGCTATGGCTGGGGAAGTAACCAGTAGTGTCTGTTGTATCCTGCTGGAGATGCTCAGAGCTGAGTTAAGGCAATGGTTGTGGCTATGCACAAAACGGTCTTGAAAGCCCTTGCAGGCCACAATGAGCTCTATAAATGGTTAATGTTACAGACTAGTAACAGCTAAGCCAAGTTCACCAAAACAAACACTGAGTTCAGAGACGGACCTCAAGTTCTGTTTGCGAATCAGCATTCCTTGCCAAGTTTTCATCCACCTAGAAAGGAAATGAATCTAATAGTAACATTCCACCAGAGTAGGTCATTGCATTATTCCAGGTCAGAAGAGTCATAAAATGAACCATGCTTCCCTTTAAAGAAGGAATGTTAGTGCTGCTTAGTGACCTAATAACCATTAAGAGAGTGGGTGCCTAATAAATGTTTTTTTCCTTCTCCTCCCTGGCTTCTTTCTAACATTCCAGACTCACCAGTTTATTTGGTATATGATTTTCATATTGAATCATTTTTTTTCTGCATTAGTGTATAAAAAAGGGGGGGGGGGATTCCTAAGCAGCTTTATTCATAATAGTAAAAAACTGGAACAATGGAACAACCCATAAGTCCATCAACAGGAAGATGGATAAACAAGCTGTGATGTATTCATACAATGGAATACTACTCACACTGGAACTGAGCATTGAACAGGTAGAGCCAAGGAAACAGTCTCAAATTCTCTTCCCTCATCAGGGAAAAGACACGCCTCAGTACCAGAGGACTATTTGGGGCTGGCAGGACCCCTGAGGCATGAGAGGATGGCAGTAGGGAGAGCCACACAGGAGATGACCCTCTAGGCACAGGTGCAGACACCTCCCATTTGGGCCTGCCCTCCCAGGTCAGAACAGGGACCAGACAAGTAGCTAAGAGAGTGTAATCAGAGTCACCCGTTCCAACCCCCACCCAGCATGTACCCAGTGGGAGAATACAAGAGATGTTCTTCAGAAGCAGACCTTCGTGTAATTAAAACAATCTCTGCCCTGGCCAGTTTGGCTCAGCAGTTAGAGCATCAGCTCACAGAACAATGAGTCGCGGGTTCGATTCCGGTCAAGGGCACGTACCTCAGCTGCAGTTCGTCCTGGGCCCTGGTGGGGTTCTGCAGGAGGCAACCCGTCAATGTGGCTCTATCACATCAATGTTTCTCTCTGTCTCTCTCTCTCTCCCTCCCTCCCTCCCACTCTATCTGATGATAAGTAGAAAAATATCCTCGGGTGAGGAATAAAAACAAAAAACCATTTCTGCCATGTGTGGACATAGATTCTGAAGATCTCTAAAATTCTTGGCCTCTTTCCCATTTGATTATGTGGCCCTGAGGCTTCCTGACCACAGGATCTTGTTCTCCATTAACAGCAGTGCTGTCTCTGCTGCCGTTTCAGGAAGCCAGCAGAGCCTGCATGCCGTTCAGCGCAGGATTTCACAGTCTTGGCACTATTGCCATTTGGGGCCAGATATTCCCATTGCAGGGGTGGGAGGCTGTCCTGTGCATTGTAGAGCGTTTAGTAGAATCCCTGTCTATTCCCACTAGATGCCATTAGCATTACCACCCCCAGTCATGACAATCAAAAATGTCTCTGGACATTGGTGGGGCAAAATCGTCCCAGTTGAGAACCAGTGGTTTAGCTTAGTTTTGGTGTTCACCAAGCAAAAGCCCTCGCCTGTTTCCCTTGCATATCTTCTGCTGTGGAGCTTTAAAATAAATAAACTCCTGTCCCCCCGGCCAGTGTGTTTCAGTTGATTGAGCACCATCCTGTGCGCCGTGAGGTCATGGGTTCTATTCCTGATCAGGGCACATGCCCAGGTCGTGGGTTTGGGCTCCGTCAGGATGGGTGCGGGAGGCAGCGGATTGATGTTTCTCTCTCATATTGATGTTTCTCTCTCCCTCTCCCTTCCTCCCTCTCTAAAAAAATCAATAAAAAGCATGTTTAAAGTAAGTAAATAAACAAAATACACTCCTATAAGTAATCGAGCGAATCCCTTCAACTAGAAACGTTCATGTGTATCTTCCACTTTGCAGGCAGCACAATGTGTCTTTTCTAAACTGTTCTTCAGACGAACCCTGGAAAAGGTGGGGCATCAATGGTCCGGTTTTACTCCAAAGGAAATGAGATTCTAGGAGGTTGTGTGACTTCCCTGGGGCCACTCTGTGGGAGCTGGAACTAGACTCCAAGCCTCCGACCACTGACCAGCCTTTGACTCCCCCAGGAGAGCAGGGTGCATCTTTATTGGGGAAACGGACAAACTCTCAAAAGCAGGAACCCCAGTTGTGACTCCAAGCTGCTGTCATGAAGCAGGGAGTGTCTGGGTGGGAACCGGGCCAGAGAAATGGTGACATGCCCCTCCCCTCGCAAGCCTGGAGGCGAGGCCTTGTCGGCCAGCCCCTGTGTGCTACAGGTCGCCGAACCTGCTCTTCTGTTTGCCGGGCATGAGCAGAGGGTGGAAGAAACCCCTCTGCTAATAAGCTAGAGTCCAAAAGGCTTTCAGGCCACTGGTGTCTCTCTGACTTTCCACCTGTCCAGTTTTACTTAGTAAAGAACATGCATGCTGGGGTCACGCTTAAAAGCTTCTTCCAAATGTATCAGCTGCTATTTTGAGACCCTACCTGCCCACACTTACGTGAACATATCAGTCATCACCATTGGTCAAATGAGATTTCTAAAGTGTTAGTCAATGCCTGAGAACATTTCTGCAAGAGAAGTTATAAAGCAAATATATGAAATAAGGCTAAGCTTTAAATCTTTTCTTCTCTACCTTTTCCCTCCCAGGGTTCCCCAAATATATATGACCATGAAGTAACTATAGAAGCTGATGCCTTTTTGCCTGTGGATGAAACCCTAATTCCAACAGGTTGGTGAATTTTAACTTTTTATAGGAATGTAGAGCTGGGGTGTGATTTGAGAAACATCGAAACTTCATTGACCTACATTTATTTTCCCTGTTGGCCCACCAAAATGTCATTTATTTCGCTTAAGGTTGGGCGACCATTTAGACACCCAAACCAGGACCCTTTTGAGAGCGAAAGGGGTTGCTGTACTAATTGAGCCAGGGTAACAGGCATAAACTGGGACAGTCCCAAATACACGGGGTCCTCCGGACGTCCTAGCCCTGCCTTAGGTTCCAGAAGTTCTTCACTAAAATGTAAATCTGTTACTTGTTAGCATCTTAGCAGAGATCAGTTTACCTGGACAGTACCTCACAAGCGCAGGGCCCTGATAGAACACCACGTGACCTTTAAAGAAGAGGGCAGTTAGGGTGAGTTATGCCCTGAGCAGGACAAATGCAGATAAGTCACCTCTGGGACACAGGTGGGGAGTGGGAGGGACGGGGAGTGCAGAGTATCGGAAGGGGAGGGGAGGTGCCGCCCAAATCAAACGTCATGGGGGTAAGTGTATGTGTGTGCATCTCCTTGGTTAACTGGATTAAGATTATCTGGGTTATTATTATTTGGGATCAAAAGTACCTTGACAAATCCATAGAGATAGAAAGTAGATTAGTGAGTTGCCAGGGGCCAGGGCAGAGGGACATGGGGAATGACATTAGGTATGAAATTTCTTTTGTTTTTTTTCTTTATTGATTTTAGAGAGAGAAGGAGAGGGAGAGAAACATTGATGAGAGAGAACATCGATTGCCCACCTCCTGCATGCCCCCCACTGGGGATTTGGCCCACAACCTGGGCATGTGCCCTGACCGGGAATCGAACTGGCAACCTCCAGGTACATGGGTCGATGTTCAGTGGGTGGGCTGGGCATCTTTTTTTTTTTTTTTAATTAGATTTTATTTTTATTGTTGACATCATTACAGATGTCCCTCATTTGAAATTTCTTTTTGAGGTGATAAAAATATTGTGGAATAGGTAGTGCTGATGGTTATACCACCTTATAAATATACTAAACACCACTGAATGGTGCAGTTTGAATTTGATAATATGTGAATTATATATCAATTTGAAAAAAGAAAGAAAGAATGAACCTTGGTTCATGTGTTATCTCCAGGTCTGAGTGTCGTTTTGTAGTAGATCGTGCGTGTACCTCTTTTGCCTCCGGGGGATGGATGGATGGCTAGATGACTGGCAGGGGGCTAGGGTTTGCGGCAGCTTATGGAAATTAACTTAATTACCCCTAAGCAGTAGATAAATATTCTTATTGCGATTTTTATTAAAGTGAGTGTAGAAGGCATGGTCTCAGTAAATAAACAAAAGCAGAGAATGAAAGGGGAGAACAGAAATCCAGAAAGACACAAACACTTCCTGCATGAGATCCTCTTCTCCTGGGAGTGTTACCGTTGTAACTAGCTAACTAATGCTAAAATGGGGAAGAGCAAAGGGGAGGCCTGACATAAACATGGTCATCTGGGCAGCTTCTCCAGGAAGCTGTTACTTTATACTCCCCAGGGAACTATCGGCCCATTTCCTACAGATCACTGGGGGAAGGGGATCCTACAAAGGGGGAAATGGATGCATGCAGTGACCTAGAGAAGGTGCTTACTTGTCCGTCTAACCTGGGAAAAAGATAATTGGCCAGAGGGGTGGAGCCAATACAAACCCATGAAAATTTGGGAATACATAATCCACAGACAAAAGAACTCTCTTGTCCCTCTTGCTTTGCTCCTACTTCCTTGCACTCACCTGTGCTTCCTCCATAGCATGTGACCCTAGGAGCCGCATGGCCCAGGGCCATGTGGACCCCACAAGCAATGGAGTGCAGCTGGGAACACAAGCTAAGCTAGCTGGACTGGACTGTGCTTTAATGTGGAAGGGAGGCTCTGGGCAGTGGTTTTAATCAGAGCTCTGCTGAAGATAAAATAAAAAATAAAAAAAAAAAGATGAAATGGGACTTTTTCCTTGGTGGGATGGAAGGAGATGGGACCTTGGAAAATCAGGGGTTTGATTCCATAGAAATAAAGCTTTCCATGATACCTCATCCTCCATGGGGGCCTCAGGGAATTCTTACTCCAGTGGCACCCTAAAAAACCCACCTCCACTGGCAACTGGTGGGGACATGGCTGACATCCTACCCATAACACAAAGAATGATTGCCCTCATGTGGCCCCTTGGCTGACCTAGGTCCCCTGCCTGTGTCTGACAGCGACTTCTCGGAAGTATAACCTCAAGGCTCTTCTCTCAGATTGCTTCCGTCCTGCGTTCCGTTCTCTCGGGCATCTCTGCAGGGCTGCTGCCCTTGATAAGCCCATCTGGTGGCAGCTACGCGTAGGTCAGGAAGGCCTTTCCCTTCTGCTCCCACCTCCCGTAAGGGTGCTATTACCTCACTTGTCACCTCGATTCCAATAAAGAGCTTAGAATGACAGCATATGAGCAGTTACAAGTAAAAGGCACCATCCTATCCAAGAAAACAAGGTTTACATCACCAGTAATAAGACATTTCACATGATGCACTGAAAAAGCACATCACGTGTGTGGTCTTGTGTCAAAAATGCATAACCTCAATCTATCTAGAAGGAAGCTGAGGGACCCAGCTGAGGGACAGTCTACAGAATAATTTACCGGTACTCTGCAATAATATCAAGAAAGTCAAAGAAAGACTGAAGAATGGTCACAGAGGAGACTTAGGAGACATGACAGCAAAATGCAACGTGGGATCCTAGATTGGATCACAAGGCAGAAAAATGGCAATAGTGGGAATTCTGGGGAAATGCTAGTAAAGTCTATAATTTAGTTAATAGTATTGTTTCCATATTAAATTTCTTAGTTGTGATCATTGTACCACAGTCATGTAAGATATTAACATTAGAGAAAGGTGGGTGAAGCATACACAAAGATATACTATTTTTGCAACTAAAATTATATCAAAAATTTTTTTAAAAGTCCAGGCCTGGCGGGTGTGGCTCAGTGGTTGAGCATCGACCCATGCACCAAGAGGCTGCCGGTTGATTCCCAGGCAGGGCACATGCCCAGGTTGTGGGCGCAATCTCCACTGGGGGGCATGCAGGAGGCAGCCAGTGAATGTTCTCTTTTATCGATGTTTCTCTCTCTCTCTCCCTCTCCCTCTCCCTCTCCCTCTCCCTCTCTAACATCAATAAAAGGGGGGAAACAAAGCACAGGGCAGTAAGCAAGACATTACTTTAAGTTGACTAGGCACCTGCCTTACTTTAGGTAAGGGCTTTTGTTCTATTTTGGCCTCTTTAAAACAATGGGGTTGTGTTTATGGCTGGTAGATCAAAATGTTTAGGAGGGAAAAGGTAAGAATGTGAGCCTGCACACTAAACAGCAACTTCAGCTAACAGCAGGAATTAGCAACTCCCACAAATACAGTGACTATGAAACTAATGAGAATAAGAATGAGAAATCAAGATAAATGGATTCAAATTTTTAGCATCACAGTGTTGAAAGTTTTCCTGGCTCCTGGTTTGGGTTTAACAGCTTTTATATTTGTCTCGGTGACATGTGCCATCTTTGATATTGACATGGCTAAATAGGTGAGCGTGAGTAAGCTGGCTCATCCTGACCTCGGTGCAGAATCGATGCATTTGACTTCTGTGTTGTGAACTGCAAGGAAGAAATCATGCTGGCGGCTGTTTTGTGACTGATAAGGAAGAAAATGAACTAAGTAGCTTATAAGTGGAGGTGATGAACTAAGTGCATATTTTTTTGTGTATTTATAAAATCTTATGCTTTCCTGTTCACTTTTGATCAGACAGAAATCACACAAAAAATGCATGTTCATGCTGTGTAAAAATGATTTGTTATGACTGTAAGATATAACTGTGGCAAAGCACAGTGGAGCATCACATGCAATCGAACAGGTACATAAAATCATTGCTGCACTGTAAGCTGTTGTAGGATCAAATTCTATACTCCACTAGCTTTGAACACCTATGAAGTGAATAGGATGTAAGAGCTCCGGACTGTGGGAGACAGGAGCCCCAATTCTGGTCTTGGTTTTGCTGGTAACTAGCTAGGGGAGCCTGTAGTGTATATATAATACTTAAACCTAACATCTCTACACTCTCATTTTCTTTTCTGCAAATACCAGTGACGTTGAACTCAATCCAATTAAAAAAATTTTTTAATTGATTTTAGAGAAGGGAGAGGGAGAGAAATAGAAATACGGAAGTGAGAGAGAAACATCTAGGCCTCCTGCACGCCCCCTACTGGGGCTCAAGCCCACAACCGTGGCATGTACCCTAACCTGGAAGCAAACTGGAGACCTCTTGGTGCATGAGTTGCCGTTCACCCAACTGAGCCACACCAGCCAGGCAAACTCAATCCAATTTTATGGACCAGTAAATTTTCTTTAAAAAACAATTTGGGAGACTTATCTGGCTGGGGTTGTCCAACTTTTCATTTTGCCAAGTTAGAAAGCTATCATATATATAGGACTATTAAAACTAATTGGAATGTACGTATGTCATATTTCAATACATTATTTGAAAACTAACTGGGATAATAATGAAGAACAGAGATAAGACCACAGTTATTTTTTTTTAATTCCAAACTGCCATTTATAATCATTATTTTTTCATAAAAGAAAGAATATTTTAATACCATAAAAGTGGGTTAAGTGTAATCTCAGACTAAAGAACAGTCCTTTAAATTGAATTCATGTTGTTTTTTTAGAGAAATGTGATGGATTAGCCAAATATATCTCCATTTTCTGTGGACCCGTGAACATTTTATCATAGACATGATTGTGAACAAATACTTTGTAAGATCACTTGTAGCTCTTACATTCTGTGAGTCTACGAGACTCAGTAGAACATTTCACTGCTATTTCCACCACCCTTCAAATCCATTAAAACTCTCTCCTGAAGGTCACTAAGCAGAGGTTGGCAGTGAACTTTGGTCTCCTGCATATGAGTGGCTTTTAGTCCCATAAGGCAGTTACTTTGCT